CTCATGCCTATAATCCAAGCACTTTGGGAGGCCGAGGTGAGAGGATTGCCTGAGCCCACAGGTTAGAGACCAGCCTGGGCAACTTGGCAAGACCTCATCTCTAAATTTAAAAAAATTAGCTGGGCGTGGTGGCACATGCCTATAGTTCCAGCTACTTTGAAGGCTAAGCTGGAACTCAGCGATGCCTCCCTGCTTCTCATGGCTCTCAAGGGAGATGCCAGTCTTTGAGATGCTCAGGCCGCAACATGGAGAGTGAACCCTGAGTTGTCTCCCACCCTATAACAGAGTCAGAAAATTCTGCCGGTTCTGCCTTCGGAACATGTCCAGAATCTGATCGCATCTCTGTCTCCATCACCCGACCCATTGACACCCCAGCAGCACCTCCCCTGGCCTCTCTGTTCCCACCCGTGGCCTCTTTGTGTCAGATTTGGCACAAAATCTTGCCATGTCCCACAGATTGAATGACCTCATTTATATGAAATGTCTGGGCAAATCCACAGAGACACAAAATGGATTGGTGAAGGCCAAGGACTAGGGGATTTCAGGGATGAAGAAAATGTTCTAACATGGATTTTTTTCTTTTCTATAGAGACAGGGTCTCGCTATGTTGCCCAGGCTGGTCTTGAACTCCTGACCTCAAGGGATCCTCCTGCCTGGATCTCCCAAAGTGCTGAGATTATAGCAGGCATGAGCCACTGAGCCTGGCCTAAAATGGATTGTGAAGATGGTTACCTAACTCTGAATAAATGACATCCACTGAACTATACACCACAAATGGGTGAATTGTATGATATATGAGTTATCTCTCTTTTTTTTTTGAAACAGAGTCTTACGGTGTCACCCAGGCTAGAGTGTAGTGGCACGCTCATGGCCACCCCAGCGTGGACCTGCCGAGCTCTGGCGATCCTTCCGCTTCAGCCTTCCAAGTAGAGATTGGAAGGCTAATCCCTAATTTTTTGATTTATTGTAGAGACGAGATGTCGCCAAGTTGCCCGGGCTGGTCTTGAACCCACGGGCTCAGGCAATCCACTCGCCTCAGCCTCCCAAAGTACTGGGATTAAAGGCTGAGCCACTGAGTCAGGCCTGTGAGTTATATCTCAATAAGCTGTTACCACCCTCCCGCAGACCCTCCAGAAAAACAAATCCTTCCCATGGCTCTCACCTGACGCAGAATAAACCCAGTGTCCTCAATGGTCAGGGCGTGTGATCTGCCTCCCCGCATCCCTCTGAAAACACTGCCTCAGTTCTCCTTTTCATTCACTGTTCCAGCTACACTAGCCTCTTTGCGTGTTCTGCCTCAGGGCCTTTGTACTTGCTTGGAATCCTCTTTTCTGGTCAGCCCCGCCATGATGGAGCTTGGATGCAAACAAAGCCAACTCTTGTGTTGTACACCACGTACACGTGTGCCGTTTGTGGCAGGGAGAGTAACAGCCCTCCCACAATGTCCACATCCCAATCTGGATCCTAGGAATGGAACTCTACATGACAAAAGGGACCATGCAGATGTGATGACATCAAGGATCCTGAGGTGGGGAGATGCGCCTAGACTGCCCAGGTGGGACCAACGAAATCACAGGAGCCCTTCCAAGGGACAGAGGCATGAGTTGGAGTCAGAGAGACTGGAGGATGCCATGCTGCTGGCTGTGGAGATGGAGGGCGGGGCCACAGGCCAAGGGCTGCAGGCAGCTTCTAGAAGCTGAAAGAGGCAGGAAGCGGATTCTCTTCTAGGGCCTCCTGACAGCTCTGCTGACACCTGATTGAACCAATGAGACCTGCTTTAGATTTCTTACTTCCAGGACTACAGTAAAGCTGTTTTAAGCCATTAAGTTTGTGATCTATTTGTTACAGCAGCAGCAGGAAACTCATACACTATCATATTTATAAAAATGCCCAAGCTGGGCTCAGTGGCTCAGCCTATAATCCCATGCTTTGGGAGGCTGAGGTGAGTGAATTGCCTGAGTCTGCGGGTTCAAGACTTGCCTGGGCGACTTGGCGAGACCTCATCTCCACAATAAAAAAAAAATCAAAAATTAGCCCGGCATGGTAGCGCACGCCTGTAGTTCCAGCTACTTGGAAGGCTGAGGCGGAAGGATGGCCAGAGCCCAGCAGGTCGAGGCTGCAGTGGCCAGGAGCGGCCACTGCACTCCAGTCTGGGTGACAGAGTGAGACTCCAACTCAAAAAAAAAAATGCCCAACAGAGAGGATGTTCTCCCCAAGCCTTGGCTTCTGTATGTAAGACAATGACTGCTCCATGGTGTGGTCTACTCCTGTAGATATGGCCAGTGGCTCTGACAGTGCCTTGCGTATAGCAGGCAGGATTTTATTTTATTATTATTTTGTCTCGGAGTCCCATTCTGTCACCCAGGCTGGAATGCAATGGCATGATCACGGCTCACCACAGCCTCAACCTCCTGGGCTCAGGTGATCCTCCTGCCTCAGCCTCCCTAGTAGCGGGGACCACAGGCACACACCATCATGCCTGGCTAATTTTTTAATTTTTTTTGTGGAGACAAGGTCTCACTATGTTACCCAGGCTGGTCTCAGACTACTGGGTTCAAGCGATCCTCCCACCTCAGCCTCCCTAAGTGCTGGGATTATATGCATGAACTATTGTGTCTGCCCACAGCATGATTTTAAACTCCCCCATAGATTAACTCATTTAATTCTCCAACACATTGGTGAGATAAAAAGCTATCATTAATCCATTGTCCAGAAGAAGAAACTGAGGCAAGAGATTAAATTGGCCGGGCACAGTGGCTCAGCCTGTAATCCCAGCACTTTGGGAAGCTGAGGCAAGAGGATTGCCTGAGTCTGGGGATTCGAGACCAGCCTGGACAACTTGGCAAGACCTTGCCACTACAATATATCAAAAAATAAGTTGGGTGTGGTAACATGCACCTGTAGTTCTGCTACTTGGAAGGCTGAGGTGGAAGGATCGCCTGAGTTCAGTAGGTTGAGGCTGCCGTGTCATGAGCAAGCCACTGGACTCCAGCCCGGGCGACAAGAGTGAGATATCAAATAAAAAAAAAAAAGATGAAATGACTTATCCAAAGTTTACACAGTTGCTAAGTGGCCAAGCAAAGAGTCAGTCAGGGAACTGAAGAGAGGCTGTATGATATTAATAAGAGTTGACCAGACTCGGTGGCTCAGCCTGTAATCCCAGCACTTTGGGAGGCCAAGGTGAATGGACTGCCTGATCCCGTGGGTTCGAGACTAGCCCAGGCAATTTGGTGAGACCTCGTCTCTACAATAAATAAAAAATTAGCCAGGTGTGGTAGCGCATGCCTGTAGTTCCAGCTACTTGGAAGGCTGAGGCAGACGGATTGTTGGAGCCCAGCAGGTTGACACTGGAGTGGCTGTGAGTGTGCCACTGCACTCCAGCCTGGGTGACAGAGTGAGACTCCAACTCAAAACAACAACAATAATAATAAGAGCTAACACAGCCCAGCAGCCGTCACCCTCTCTCTCTGTGGGCATGGGGGCCCTTCAGCTCCAGAGGGCCCTAGCAGCAGGTGGTGGTGCTATTCCATTGTTACCATGGCCAGAGGGTCACTCTGGCACTTGGCAGGTAGAAGCCAAGAGTCTCATGTTGTGGGATTGTCCTGCCCAAATGCCAGGAGTGTCGCCGCTGAGGATCACAAAGCAGGAGGCACAGCACCTACACTTCTCATGGCTTCTGGGGCTCAGGGATAAGCAGGAAGATTCTGGGGCTGCCTGCCTGGGCGTGAAACTAGCTCAGGACAAACCTGGCTTGGCCACCAATGAGCTGTGTGACCTTGGGTAAGTCTTTTAACCTTCCTGGGCTTGATGATCTCATCTAAAAAATGGGATAATAACAGCTCGCTCCTCATACTCTTGTGAGCATTGAGTAAGGCATACACGTCAACTGCTTAGAACAGCATCTGGGAGAGTCTTGGAGCTACTACATATAGCTACTACGTGAGTATTATCGTTTTACTTTATTATTATTATTTTTTTGAGTTAGAGTCTCACTCTGTCGCCCAGGCTGGAGTGCAGTGACACGCTGCTCATGGCCACCGTAGCCTCAATCTACTGGGCTCAGGTGATCCTTCCACCTCAGTCTTCCAAGTAGCTAGAACTACAGGCACACACCACCACGTCCGGCTAATTTTTTGATCTATTGTAGAGACGAGGTCTTGCCAAGTTGCCCAGGCTGGTCTCGAATCTGTGGGCTCAGACAGTCCTCTTACCTCTGCCTCCCAAAGTGCTGAGATTATAGGCCCACCTGGCTTATTATAGTTTTAGTAGCAAGTACTTGGTATTGAAACCTGCCACCTTTTCCAGTCTCAGGGCCTCTGTGGGCAGAAGCAGGTCTGAAGGGCACCTAGGCTCTCACTTTGCTCAGCACAATCTGAGGGCAGGGCATCTGCATGTCTGTGGCTCCCAGGGGAGACAGGCAGGGCCTCAGAGACAGCAAGGCTAGGCAAGGCTAGGGACCACAGGTTTATTGGGGACTCCACGCACGCACACTCACGGCAGCACACGACAACGGCACGGTGACTCAGGACATGCGCGGCAGCCTCCGCCACAGCTGGGGCCCAGAGGCAGTGGGGTGCAGTCTCCTCCCTTGTGGCCCAGACCCCGCTGGGTCCCTTCCTCCTGGGGAGCTGGGGACGGGGCTGCTGGGGGGGCAGCAGGCCTGGCGGGGGAAGTGAGCAGGCGGGGCCGGCTGGGCCTCACTCCAGGGACTGCAGCATCAGCAGCTGTTTGAGCACCTTCGTCTGGCTGGTCTCACGGATCTCGCCGGCCAGGAACATCTCGTCCACGACCGTGTAAACCTGCGGGAGGGAGGCGAGGGGACCCCGGTGTGAGAAGGGGCCCGGGATGCTGGCCGGGGCGAGGGCTGGAACCCCAGCAGATGTGTTGGGCAGCTGCAGGGCCACAGCCACCATCCCCACCCCCACGCCTGATTCACCCTCCTCTTCCTCAGGAGCCTACCTTGTAGAAGTTGAATACCAGGTCCAGTTCACAGACGTTGTGGAAATATTCGTTTAAGACCTGGCGGAAGAAGAAGACAAGGACGGTAAGAGGGGCTGGGAGAGAGGGAGGCGCATACACACAGATGGGAACAGAGGTCAGCAGGAAGAGATGGCTGCTGGGCACGGTGGCTCAGGCCTGTCATCCCAGCACCCTGGGAGGCTGAGGCGGGAGGACTGCTTGAGGCCAGAAGTTCAAGACCAGGCTGGGCAACAAAACAAGACCTTTTTCCTACAAAAAAGCAAAAAATAAGCAGGGTATGGTGGCGCACGCCTCTAGTCTGGAAGGATCGCCTGAGCCCAAGAGGTCGAGGCTGTGGTAAGCTGTGATCCGTGCCACTGCCCTCCGGCCTGGGCAACAGAGTGAGTCCCTGACTCAAAAAAAAAAAAAAAAAGAAGGAAAAAGATGGCAAAAAAAGACAGAGAGATCAAGGGGAGGAGAGGAGAGACAGAGAGAGACAGTGAAGGCAAGAGACAGGGATACACAGAAAGAGACAGAAACAAAGATCATTGCAAAGAGCAGGTAAAAAAGACAGAGAAACCAAGGAAAGCAGGAGGAGAGAGAGACAGAAAGATCCAGAGAGGGAGAGACAGAGATGGAGATGGTAAGAAAGACAAAGAGAAAGAAACAAGAGCGAAGATCATCACGTGACGACAAAAAAGGATGGCAGGACAGAGAGGCGCGGAGACAGCTGGACCAGCAGAGACAGAAGGAGACAGCAACTGCAGCAGCCGGCCGGCAGATGCAAGGAGAGGCAGAGACAAATAAGCAGTGAGGTGGGAGAGATGGGCAGTGGTCTGGCCACGTGGGGAAGACTCAGGAGGGACCAGGGAGGGTTCCCAGAGCTCATGGGCCACCAGGGCCACCCACTCACCTCCACAAAGTTGTGAATGGCCTCCAGGTAAGCCAGGTTATTGTCATTGACGTCCACGCAGATGCAGAAGTAGAGGCCAGCGTAGCGTCGGTAAATGATCTTAAAGTTCCGGAACTGTGGGGCAGAGAGGCCGTCAGCGAGAGAGCGTGCCTGGGACCCTATGGACCGGGCAGAAAGGGGCCCAAACATCCAGTCCTTCACACATAGTCCCTGAGGCCCAGAAGTGTCCAAGATAGGTCCGACCCTGCCCTCCCGGGACTCAGTCCAGTGGAAGGAGACTCATCCCTAGAGTGGGCAGGACTGGATTGTGAGAACCCAGAGCAGGCACCTAAACACCTCTGGCCTGGGAGTCAGGAAGGGCTTCCTGGAGGAGAGGGCATCTCAGCTGAGACCAGCAGGATGGCAAGAGTGTTTCAGGTAGAGGGAAGAGCCTGGACAAAGACCAGGGCCAAGAGGGAACCTAGTGTGTTCAAAAGCATTCACCCACTCTTGCCACTCCCTTTTGTGACTTTCTGTCACCTCTGGAGACAGTCAGATTCAGTCACTCAATCAGCCAGGTGCAGTGGCTCAGGCCTATAATCCCAGAACTTTGGGAGGCCAAGGAGAGAGAATTGCCTGAGCCCAGGGGTTCAAAACCAGCCTCGGCAACTTGGCAAGACCTCGTCTACAATAAATCCAAAAATTTAACTGGGCATGAAGGTGCATGCCTGTATACCTAGCTACTCAGGAGGCTGAGGCAGAAGGATCACCTGAGCCCAGAAGGTTGAAACTCTGGTGAGCTGTGATCATGCCACTGCATTCCAGCCTGGGCAACAGAGTGAGACCTCAGCTCAAAATAAAAAGTAAATAAAAGTAAATAAATAAAGCGGCCAGGCTCAGTGACTGTTTGTAATCCCAGCACTTTGGGAGGCCGAGACAAGTGGATTTCCTGAGCCTACGGGTTCAAGATCAGCCAGGGCAACTTGGCGAGACCGCCTCTCTCAATAAATCAAAAATTAAGCCGGGGTCGGTGGCTCAGCCTGTAATCCCGCACTTTGGGAGGCTGAGGTGAGTGGATTGCCTGAGCCCACGAGTTCGAGACCCGCCTGGACAACTTGGCGAGAACTCATCTCTACAATAAATCAAAAAAATTAGCCGGGTGTGGTAGCGCGCGCCTATAGTTCCAGCTACTTGGAAGGCTGAGGCGGAAGGATCGCCGGAGCCCAGCAGGTTGAGGCTGTGGTGGCCGCGAGTGGCCACTGCACACTAGTCTGGGTGACATAGTGAGACTCCAACTCAAAAAGTAAAAAATAAAATAATAAAAGTAAATAAAAAATTAGCTAAGTGTGGTAGCACACGCGCCTGTAGTTCCAGCTACTTGAAAGGCTGAGGCGGAAGGATCACCTGAGCCCAGCAGATTGAGGCTGCGGCGACAGCCTGGATGACAAAGTGAGACTCCAACTCAAAAAAAATAAAATAAAATAAAGCAATCATTCTACAAACATTTCCTGAGCATCTACTGTGGGCAGCACAGGGGTCACCACGGTAACCAACATTCACTGAATGTCGCCTGCCTTCACTGAAGTGTAATATACACAAGTATGCCAGGCCTCTAGTTCCAGCTACTTGGAAGGCTGAGAAGGAAGGATCACCTGAGTCCAGCAGGTCAAGGCTGCGGTGGCCATTAGCTAGCCACTGCACTCCAGCCTGGGTGACAGAGTGAGACTCTGACTCAAAAAATAAAAATAAAAATAAAATCCCAGATGCAGGTCTGGGATGTGTGTGTGTGGCACCACCCGGTGGCAACTGCAAGTAACAGCATCAGTCCTTGGATTTCACTCATTTTTTTCAGCTTGTCCTGTAGCTCATTTGGGGGGGAGAGGCAGGCGGGGGAGACGGGGTCTTGCTCTGTCACTCCGACTGAGGTGCAGCAGCATAATTGTGGCCCACTGCAGCCTCGAACTCCCGAGCTCAAGTGATCCTCCTGCCTCACCCTCCTGAGTAGATGGGACTACAGGGGCACGCCACCACACCTGGCTACTTTTACCAGGGGAGTGAGACCCCCTCAACTCAAAAAAAAAAAAAAAGTCCAACCATCAGCAGTGGTATGATCACAGCTCCTCGTAGCTTCGAACTCCTGGGTTCAGGTGATCACTACATCTGGCTTTTCTTATTTCTGTAGAGAAAAGGTCTCACTCTGTTGCCCAGGCGAGGCTCAAACTCCTGAGCTCAAGCCATCCTCCCGCCTTGGCCTTCCAAAGTGCTGGCATTATAGGCACGCGCTCCCACGTGCCTGGCCAACACCCAGATCTTCTGAGGTCCCTCTGCCTCTTCTGGGTGCTCCTGTCTGTCTTCGTCCCTGATTAGTTCCTCGGCTTTGCTCACGCACCGCATACAGAAACTTCCCTGTTCCCACATCCTGCCGGGCCCTCTCCCTGAGCCCTGACTCGCAGCTCCCTCCGCTGGGACAGGAACCACACGTCGTGAGGGACCGTCCCAGCACCAGCACTGCGCCTGGATCTTCACTCCACCTGCTCTTCCCGAAGGTCGACCAGCTCAGAAAAACGGTAGCTCCGTCCTGCTCGGGGCTTGAGCCCAAGATCTAGCTGCCACTCGGGTTCCATGGTCCCTCACACTCCCCACAGCCCTCTGCCCTCTGGTTGGCTCCGCCCCCAAAATGTACCTGGCCACGCCCACGGCTTCCAAGCCTGTCCAGTCACCCACCTGGACCCGCAGCCACCTCCCAAACAGTCCCCCTGCTTCTGCGCTTGCTCCTTTACTAAAGCCTCTGCCAGCCTATGGCCTCCTCTGCTTCAGAAGCTTCCTGGGATCCTCCTCAATGAGGGGAAGAGTCCAAGCCCCCTGAAGTCCAAGCCCCTTCAGCCCTGTGCCCTGGGATCTTTCCCTCTCATCTCCTCCCTGGCTCCCTCCACCTTAGACTCACTGGACTTGTATTCCTGGAATGCCTCAGGTATATTCCTGCCTCGGGGCCTTTGCACTAGCTGTTCCCTTGGCTTGGAATGTTCCTCCCTCAGACATCACCTCCTCATTCCCTCAACTCTTTCAGGTCTTGGCTCAAATGTCACCTTCTCAGTCATGCATTCCTGACCAAACCATTTAAACTTGCACTCCAGTATCCAGCATGCACACCCTAACACCCCAGTGCTCCAGCCCGCTCACAGCTGCTGGTTTTCTCCCAGGCATTTATCACCACTCAACAGACACACAAGATCTCCCACTGACCAGAACACCAGCTCACTGAGGGTAGGGACTTGTGTCTGGTACGGCCACTACCATATCCCTAGTGCCTAGAACAGTGTCTGGCACCCAGTAGGCCCTCAAAAAATATTTGTTGAATTCTACAGGACAATACTCTGGTCTCTTGAACAGGTAAATGTCATGGGAATAAGAGGTGAAGACTTCTATATTAAATGAAACCAGAACATAGCAACAGAAAACAACACAAGATCCTTTCCCTAGCTTTGAAGATTGGGCCAGGCGCAGTGAAATAGCAATTGGCTTGGGAAGTGGAAGAAAGACGATTGTCTGAGTCCAGGGGTTCAAGACCAGCCTGGGCAACTTGGCAAGACCTCGTCTCTACAATAAATAAAAAAATTAGTTGGCTATGGTGGCACACACCTATGGTTCCAGCTACCTGGAAGGCTGAGGCAGGAGGATCACCTGGGCCCAGCAGGTCAAGGCTGCGGTGGCCGTGAGGGTGCCACTGCACTCTAGCCTGGGCAAAAAAGTAAGACCCCTACTAAAAAAAAAAAAAAAAAAATTAGCAGTGACCCAGCTAGGCGTGGTGGCTCATGCCTGTAATCCCAGCACTTTGGGAGGTCAAGGCAGGAGGACTGCGTGAGCCTAGGAGTTCGCGACCAGCCTAGGCAGTATAGCAAGACTCAGTTTCTACAAAAAATAGAAAAATTAGCCAAGCATGGTGTTGCATGCCTGTAGTCCCAGCTACTTGGGAGGCTGAGGTGGGAGAATTGCTTGAGCCACCACACCCAATCATTTGAACATTTCTATAGGAAGTTTTAAAATGGCACCTGAAGCCGGGCTCGGTGGCTCAGCCTGTAATCCCGCACCTTTGGGAAGCCGAGGTGAGTGGATTGCCTGAGCCCGAGGGTTCGCGACCCGCCTGGGCAACTTGGCGAGACCTCATCTCTACAATAAATAAAAAATTATTCGGGCGCCTGTAGTTCCGGCTGCTTGGAAGGCTGAGGCAGAAGGATCACTGGAGCCCAGCAGGTCGAGGCTGGGCTCCAGTCTGGGTGACAGAGTGAGACTCCAACTCAAAAATAAATAAATAAAATAAAATAAAATAGCACCTGAAAAAATTCTCTGGCAAAAAAAAAATAATAATAATATCAGATAGAGCAAAAAGACAAAATATTAATATTAATACTGACTAAATTTGGGTAGAGGATACGTGAATCTTCAATCTATTTTTCTCTTGTACTACCCTGTATGTTTGTGAATTTTACAATGAAAAGTACAAAAAAAGGTCAGGCACAGTGGTTCACACCTATAATCCCAGCACTTTGGGAGGCTGAGGTGGGCGGATCGCTTGAGCCCAGGAGTTTGAGACCAGCCAGGGCAACACAGAAAGACCTCATCTTTAGAAAAAAAAAATTTAATAAAAAATAAAAGTACAGGCCAGGCTCGGTGGCTCAGCCTGTAATCTCAGCACTTTGGGAGGCCAAGGTGAATGGATTGCCTGAACCGCGGGTTCGAGACCTGCCTGGGCAACTTGGCGAGACCTCATCTCTACAATAAATCAAAAATCAGCCGGGTGTGGTAGCACGCGCCTGTAGTTCCAGCTACTGGGAAGGCTGAGGCAGAAGGATTGCTGGAGCCCAGCAGGTCAAGGCTGCGGTGGCCGGGAGCGGCCACTGCACTCCAGTCTGGGCGACAGAGTGAGACTCCAACTCAGAAAAATAAAAAATAAAAGTACAGGCTGGGCACAGTGGCTCAAGCTTGCAATCCCAGCATTTTGAGAGGCCGAGGTGAAAGGACTGCCTGAGCCCATGGGTTCGAGACCCGCCTGGGCAACTTGGCGAGACCTCATCTCTACAATAAATCAAAAATCAGCCGGGTGTGGTAGCACGCGCCTGTAGTTCCAGCTACTGGGAAGGCTGAGGCAGAAGGATTGCTGGAGCCCAGCAGGTCAAGGCTGCGGTGGCCGGGAGCGGCCACTGCACTCCAGTCTGGGCGACAGAGTGAGACTCCAACTCAGAAAAATAAAAAATAAAAGTACAGGCTGGGCACAGTGGCTCAAGCTTGCAATCCCAGCATTTTGAGAGGCCGAGGTGAAAGGACTGCCTGAGCCCATGGGTTCGAGACCCGCCTGGGCAACTTGGCGAGACCTCATCTCTACAATAAATCAAAAATCAGCCGGGTGTGGTAGCACGCGCCTGTAGTTCCAGCTACTGGGAAGGCTGAGGCAGAAGGATTGCTGGAGCCCAGCAGGTCAAGGCTGCGGTGGCCGGGAGCGGCCACTGCACTCCAGTCTGGGCGACAGAGTGAGACTCCAACTCAGAAAAATAAAAAATAAAAGTACAGGCTGGGCACAGTGGCTCAAGCTTGCAATCCCAGCATTTTGAGAGGCCGAGGTGAAAGGACTGCCTGAGCCCATGGGTTCGAGACCCGCCTGGGCAACTTGGCGAGACCTCATCTCTACAATAAATCAAAAATCAGCCGGGTGTGGTAGCACGCGCCTGTAGTTCCAGCTACTGGGAAGGCTGAGGCAGAAGGATTGCTGGAGCCCAGCAGGTCAAGGCTGCGGTGGCCGGGAGCGGCCACTGCACTCCAGTCTGGGCGACAGAGTGAGACTCCAACTCAGAAAAATAAAAAATAAAAGTACAGGCTGGGCACAGTGGCTCAAGCTTGCAATCCCAGCATTTTGAGAGGCCGAGGTGAAAGGACTGCCTGAGCCCATGGGTTCGAGACCCGCCTGGGCAACTTGGCGAGACCTCATCTCTACAATAAATCAAAAATCAGCCGGGTGTGGTAGCACGCGCCTGTAGTTCCAGCTACTGGGAAGGCTGAGGCAGAAGGATTGCTGGAGCCCAGCAGGTCAAGGCTGCGGTGGCCGGGAGCGGCCACTGCACTCCAGTCTGGGCGACAGAGTGAGACTCCAACTCAGAAAAATAAAAAATAAAAGTACAGGCTGGGCACAGTGGCTCAAGCTTGCAATCCCAGCATTTTGAGAGGCCGAGGTGAAAGGACTGCCTGAGCCCATGGGTTCGAGACCCGCCTGGGCAACTTGGCGAGACCTTGTCTCTTCAATAAATCAAAAATTAGCCGGGCATGGTGGCACGTGACTCCGGCTACTTGGAAGGCTGAGGTGGAAGGATCGCCAGAGCCCTGCCGGTCGACGCTGGGGTGGCCATGAGCGTGCCACTGCACTCCAATCTGGGTGACAGAGTGAGACTCCAACTCAAAAAAATAGAAAATAAATAAATAAAAATAAAAGTACAAAAAAAGCAAGCAAGCTAAAAGCGTGTTGAAAGAATGAATGAGGCACGGGGAAGGGTCTGAAGGATGATGGCAATGGAAGGTTGGGTGGGAAGTGGGGAAGGAGGTGACGAGGGAGCAGGTGGGCGGGGGCGTCACCTCCACAAAGTTGGTGTGTTTGGCATCTCGGACGGTGACCACAGCATGCACCTCCTCGATCAGCTTCTGTTTCTCGTCATCATCAAACTGCATGTACCACTTGGCCAGGCGTGTCTTGCCGGCCCGGTTCTGGATTAGGATGAAGCGGATCTGGGCCGTGGGAAGAGGAGGAAGTGAGAGAGGCTGGCAGGGCGGGGCTGGCCTCTTTGCAGCCCCCAGAGTCCCACCAGGCTGGCCCTGGCCACACGTCCGGCTCAGGTCCTTCCAACGCCCCTGCGAGCGACCTCCCCACCACCAGTGGCCCACTCTGCAGTCAGCTCCAGGACCCAGTGCCAGGCTCACCATCTCTTGTTCCACTCTAGGCCTCAGTTCCCTTACGTTTCCCCAGAGACTCATCTTGCCAGGGTGTCTTAAAGGCTAAATGTTTATAAACGTCACCAGCTGGTATATAGCAGACATTTAATAAATGTCTGAGTTTCAGGCTTCTTAGGTCTGAGTCCTGATTCAACCATTTCTTTCTTTTCCTTTGCTTACTCATTTTTTTTAAAATTTAAATAAGCCGGGCTTGGTGGCTCAGCCTGTAATCCCGCGCCTTTGGGAGGCTGAGGTGAGTGGATTGCCTGAGCCTGCGGGTTCGAGACCCGCCTGGGCAGCGAGACCTCATCTCAACAATAAAATCACAAAATCAGCCAGGCGTGGTAGAGCATGCCTGTAATTCCGGCTACTCGGAAGGCTGAGGTGGAAGGATCGCCGGAGCCCAGCAGGTTGAGGCTGCGGTGGCCGGCAGCGT